GCATATTATATACAATTTGTTTCCACTACGTGGAACCTTATGAAATGCTTCTAATGCCTTGCCTACATATACGAGTACCGGCAGCAAATCACCCTCGCGGGGTGCATATTATATACAATTTGTTTCCACTACGTGGAACCTTATGAAATGACTCTAATGCCTTGCCTACATATACGAGTAACGGTAGCAAACCACCCTCGCAGGGTGCATATTACCAAAACTCTAATGACCGCCCCTCGCGGGGGCATATTATGTATAATTTGCTTCCACCGTATGGAACTCATTATGAATAAAGACATGCCTTCCATGGCTTGCCTACACATACAAGTATCGGTAACAAAATATCGTTGATGGAGGAATATCCTCATCAATCTTATAATCGACCTTGTGGGGTCATATCACACATAATATATTATTTCCATTACGTGAAGCTCAATATATGTTTTCCTTAGAACATGTTCGCTTATGGAGTTCGTACTATTATGTAAGCACCGGTAACATACGACACTCGAGTGGAGCAAATTATGCATAATTTAACATATAGTCTATTCGTGATTCATAATTTATTTTTGTGACCATGGGGTCTGTAAAAGTGTAAACGATTCGAAACATTAAAAATAAGTAAATTGAAAATATAATAAATGTCGCTTGACATAATTCATTACTTCCATCGCGTGGAAATCCATACATCGACGCAACGCAACATACCCGCTCATGGTTTGCGTACACACATAAGTATCGGCTATAAACTACCCTCTTAATAGACTATAAAGATCGAACATCGAATGTTGACGTACCCCGTTGTGAAGTGCAATGTACGTGGTTTTAAAGGTGTCGCATACTCCGAGGTCTTGGGTTCACCCCGGTGGGGCAAATCATTGTATGATTAAAACAAGCATCTGTGCCTAAGTCTTGGTTGTTAACAAATATTAACTCAAAATCATATCAATCTATGCATCATCATTATGCATTTCTATGCGTTAGCCCATAACACAAGTCTTTCAATGCCTATTATGAGGCTAGGCTAATTGGTGTGAAGTGTTGACTCGATCACTACGGTTGTTCTACCGTAATATAGTTATCGAGGACGTGCTGTAATACATTTCAAAAGAAAAAGGAATATCGAAACAATTAATGTTTGAAAAAATTTAGTGCAGGACAGTTGATAAATTGGTTGCACCACAAATAATTCTTAAATAAATTTAATGGTGTCGCATGCCATTCAAAAGCTTGTTTATCTAAATCCAATATATATCAAGCTCCAATCTCAAGTGCAGTACACTATAACTATGTAAAGAATTCTAAGTTTTCTGCAATTTAAGGACTATCTGCCAGATAGATAGATGATAACATATTTTCTCTTGAAAATAACAAAAGTAAACCAAATGGGTTGCTCACTCTTTTGATCGGGTAATGAGAGAAACTTGCAATATTAGAAATGTCGTGTATGAGGTGTCCGAGGTGGCCAACATGATCATTTTGATATATAAGTGGTGCTATGTACTGAAGAAAAATTGCACGATCTACCAAATTCTTGAAAGGTTTTGAAGATCATTGTATGCAATTATCCACTTTATGTTTTTTTAGTAAAAAATACTGAAAACTGTTCTTAATATTAAACTTACGCTTTCTAACCTTGCCACGACTGTCTGGAATAAATATACTTCAAACCCTACGCATACTACATGCACACTTCATGTAAGCTGTGTAAATCTTATAAATAACTAAATCTTTATTTAGTATTAAGTAATACATATAAATGACTCAGATCTAAGAACTGAAAAACAAAAGGAAAAATTACAATCAATTATAGATTCCAGGATGGCAAATGAATTTCATAAAATCTGGTCTGAACTTCGTAATAGCATAATTTATCACGGCAACCCTGCAACAATATAAAAACTATACCTGAGAATTTCGTTGTAAAAACGTAAAACTTCAGAAGTTGATCGGTTTCAACATGTTTGTCATTCCGTGGGGTTGTATCAACCACTCCCTACTTCTAACAATAGTTATAAATTCATTGCAATCGACCTTGCAATCACTTCCTGCCAATCTAATATGAAAGCTTGGCAAGTATAGTTGAAGAATACGGCTCTACCACTTCACTTCAATCTCCACTCCAATCAAATAGATATGCTAGCACTACGCTTTTTATCATATTCTACAAAGAGCGACAGCTCTGTTTTAAACAGCTATGAGATGGCTCGGAAACGCTGGCTTGCGTGGTTGCATTGGTCTAGGAACAAGAATGTTTATCGGAATAATCCCGCAGGTTGTGGACTCGGCTCTGAGCTAACACGATTTGAGACTTATTTTAACACGTGACTTATCTCAAAATAAGTACCATTATTCTAAATAAGTCGGTAGTTTTTACATGATATACCAATGGATGATAAGTCTAATTACCTAAGCTCACCTGTCTTGGCAAACACATAATAATATATTGAAGTTATATCATAATGATCTGTTTCAAATCCCTCGTCATACTAGTTGTTGTTCTGAACGTCATACAGTAATTATTATTTGGTTCAGCATGTGGTACACATGACTTGTTCCTACTTCAAATTATTCCGAATCATTGTATTTGTACCGACGAAGATTAGTTTTAGCCTTGTTTTGGTTCAAAACAGGTGAAAGTAGTTAAAGACAATCCGATTGGTGACTTGTATCGAATAATGGTAATCGTAAGTGGGACCCTGATTTTTGGTACTTAAGTAAAAAGTACAGTATTGTAAAATGTAAGACTCAGTATCGAACAACTTTACATCTTTTTATCGCGTTCGTATGCCTTATTTGTGATATACAAAGATACAAATGAATGCTACACAAGGAAGCGTCCGGTCATTAACAAAGCAAATATATATATATAATTCGCGAGTTTTAAGCAAAGGAATATAGCGATCAGCTAATACATATGTTAAAGCAGCTTCGTAAGCGTGAAGAAATTAAAGGCGTGATTCAAATAATATTATTTGATCCATTTTTAAGCTTACTCGTTTCTTTATACAGTTTCATATAATCTGATAAATGTTAATATTTAAATTTATCATAAATTGTCACATTGGCGTATATATCTATGTACGTGGCGATCAGGCGATAACAAACAGGTCTCAATATAAAGCTTTCAGTGACGGTCAAGTAGTTTAATAGCAGCATTTTACCTGAAATAAAATGCATATTAAAATACTTACCTCACTGAAAGCTTTCACTTTAAATTCTGCCTGGTGAAATAATTGAGCCAATGAGTTAATATGGCGCTGTCAAAACTTAGGAAAACAAAAATGGCCGCGCTTCTGCCAGGTGTCGCCACTGGACCGGATACAAGGTGAATAAAAGTACGGAAACTGATGGTAATTCGACGGGAAACGGAAGTGCTATCTCAATATAAAGCTTTCAGTGAGGTAAGTATTTTAATATGCATTTTATTTCAGGTAAAATGCTGCTATTACAACAATTTAAAGAAAAAAATAAAATGTAAAATAATACAAAAAGACCAAGTAATTAACAATCATAAATCTTCGTCTTTTCCGATACATAATGAGACTGTAAGTTCGAATGAAAAGAAAAATATTAATGTACATTTCCAGGACGAACTTAATTATCCCGATAGGTAGAAAGGGCTTGAATGGGACTTTTTCGAAACATTCCTTCACTTTTCTTATAATCGCTCATCAGACAAAGTGGTTTCCATGTTTCCAGCGTCCAATACATTTTCTAAATCGTCCATATTAAATAAATAAATAAATAAAGGGTTTTGTATTGTATTGTATTGTATTGTATTGTATTGTATTATATTGTATTGTATTGTATCTATATAGCGAAATATACATATACCTTTGATGATCAAAGACATGTACTTATACCCCCTTATTAGTAAATGAAGATAAAGCTTTGATTAGTTACTCCACGTTTTGTCTCTGTTCATTGAATGACACATGGCATTTGAGTGATATGCATAAAACACGGTGTAACTAGTGTAAGCTTATTCCAGGTTTATAAATAAGAGGAATAATGTTTATTTACTTGTAATCAGGGGCGGCCCTAGGAATTGCGGGGTTTTTCAGATTGCTTTTACCTGTCTTCGCTAAAGGATAGTTATGATTTTCAAGTATATTTCTTTGGCACACTCTGTGGCCTAAACGGTTTGATTGCTTTAGTCTTGAGGGCTGTAGTTAGATTCTTAGTACTAGTTAGAGTGACACTTGTTATATAATAATTACTTTTTATATTCCTTAGCACAAACAAAAATATTTCTCAAACCGGAAAACCTACCGAAAATGCGTCTTCCTGTAGACCTCTTCTGCTTATTGCCTATTCTATTTGAAAATAGTTTTTAAGGTGATCCAACACTCTAATAGTGTAATTTGAAGTCCTAAGTACCTGACCACCAATTTGTCTTTATAATATATCACGAATTCACGATGGCACGATGAAGTAGGTGAATAGACTCATACAAGAAAACCATAAAGCTTTCAGATCAAGAAATATTGTTGCAAGGCAATCCTAGATATTTTTAAGTTTTTGATTAAGAATTATCAGTTTTCATCTTTTTTGATATGGTGGAACTTCACATGATAGTATGAATAGAAATATTTTATGTTAGTTAAGCAAGAAGAAGATATGAACAAATTTTACTGGGTAGCGGGAAGCGAGTGTGTAGTTCCGATAGATTAATCGTAGGAATTTGAAAAATGCACGCGCGCGTGTTTTGAGACAAGCGAGCAGCGCTGAGCCGGTATCGCTGAGCGAGTATTTTCTATGATAGCTCTTGTCGCTCAGCGACGAACTAGTGGAGACTGTTCACACTGCCAGCGATGAACTATTAATATATGCATTTCTTTTGTTTACTTACATGGAATGTATGGGCGTTTTGTGAGCGAGAAAATAGTTTTGGTATCCAGGTGTGAATATTTGTCAAGATTTCTCCGTATGGCATCTAAGCGCGGCGGTTACGTACTGTTTGCTACCAAGAAGTTAATGCATGAATGTCTGTCCAGGTTTTTCCGTGTGGCATCGGCGATGGTGCTGCGTGGCGGTGCTGGTTTTGGTAGCCGGCACAGCCTGCGTGGCCGGTCCGCTGGCACTCCGAGCCCCACCCGGGGCTCCGCTGCACGAACGACTTCGGCTGGCCGAACGGTTACTACACGACACCCCCCTCATTGACGGCCACAACGATCTACCGTGGAACATCAGGAAATTTCTACACAATAGGTTAAAAGATTTCAGGTAAGATACTGACTTTTGATACATAGGTAATTAAGTAGCCGTCCCACAAAAAAGGTAGTAAACATGAGTTTATGTCATAAAAATTTGCCTTATCGTGGTTTAAAACAGCGTCTATGTTTTTTATTATGCTACAGCCATAATATTTACGTTTCGTTTTATGTATAATGATATATTTATGTGTATAGTGTTTTTTAAACTTGTTATTGCATTTTACATTGTATGCGGGTGCATGCCACAGTATTTCTAATTATTTACACAAATGTAAAGATGAAACACAACACTTATTTTTTTCCATCTAAAACAGCTATACATCACACCTTATTCAAACAGACGAAACACGATTATTTTTCCACTTACCTAAATGTCGTTTGCGGTCCTCACAGACTCCTTATTTTATTCGTACAGCAACCTAATATCATAAGAAAAATTAGACCATATTTTTTCACCCGAATACGGCGGATTGGTTAGGCTTTACCTTGTCTTATTCATATGTTTAATAACTAATGTTATAGAGCAGTCTGGGGTCCGTTTTATATAACGTGTTTTTAACATGGTTTTATCCTAATAAGTATGAATAGCGTAGTTTTGTTTTACTACTATTAACTACACTAACTTTCCGTCCGCGGCTTCGCCCGCGTGCTTTCATCCCCTGTTTTAATCCATCAGAGGATGAATATAGTCAACATTAGAAATATAAATTATTACATTTCTATTATCTTTTAAGTCGGACCAGACTATAAATAGTAAACCTTTCATCAAGGTCATAAGTAGTTTCGGAGCTTATCCCGGCCAAACGAGAAAGAGACACAAGTTTTAATTTATATGAGATCATATGATTAATGATCTTTTTCTTTTTTTTAAAACAAAGGTATAAATATTGTTTTATCTTAACAGACATTTTATAAATACTTATTATTTACTTTACACCTAATCGGCACCAGAAAGGTTATATAGTGACGACATAAAACCACTACAACCACTAATAGACACCACTGTTCACCCAGGTTTGACGAAGACCTTCGTACGATATCACCCTGGGCCACAAGTTCCTGGAGTCATACAGATCTACCACGTCTCAAACAGGGCAGAGTGGCAGCCCAGGTGAGATGAAATTACCATAATTCGTTTTCTATTATTGATGAGTATACTTACTATAAAGATAAATATTGAAGTGTGTCTACACCCTAAAATATACTTGCAGTATATGCCAAGTTTACATTGTTGGTGATTGCTTCGTGTTGCGTTGAAAAATGAGGAGAAAATAATAAATAAAAGATCAAAGCTCATTCGAAAGATGAATATTATTAAATGATTATTGATTTTAATAAACTTGATGCACTAATCACTGCACCATAGTAGAGTTCGATTGCTCATTAGATCTCCGATCATGGAAGTTAAGCAACTTTCGCAATGGCTGGTCATAGGATGGATGAACAAGAAATATTATTTTTGACTTCTCCGTGCTTTGGAAGTCACGTTAAGTCGTTGGTCCTGGCTCTATCTCCCGTTGTTCGGCTCCTCCTTATCCGTACTAGGCCGTAGTGATGGGTTAACGGGTATTCCCCTTATTCATTTTTTTAAAATAAATTCCATTCATTGGCACGACTCGAAAAGGCTGATAATCAGAACTTCATCCATCCAGTCCTAAAATTATGATATTTGTATATTCTCAAACAAGACATTAGTAAATGATATAAAGTTATTTAAACCAATTATGAGCAAGTGCCTGAAATGCAAGATGTCACTGCTGCAATAATGCCTAACACATCATTATCAATAAAAAGCAGACTGCCTATATACAATGAAAGATGCCACTACTCCAATCTCTTATCTATTAGACAAGTCCGTCCGTCCGTCCGTCCGTGGTGCTGTTTCAGCGGCCAAACCGTAAGAGGTAGATAAAGAGAATGTTTAAGTTATAAGTTAAGAATAGTCTGATAAGACTACAAACCGGATTTGAGTAACGTAGCACTTCCGGTTTTCGAGAAATAACGTGATTTCTATTTCAAACGAAACCACACAAAATATCCGAAGTTCTCAATTAATTAAATACATTTTTTTTTTGTGAACATTTGGTTCACTGGTTTGCTAGTAATACCTAAAACGCTAATTGACTAAGAAGCAGATTGCCTACAATGTATCGTGACTATGATGTTTGCTGTCAACCGTCAATTTGAAATCGTAAAATGTTAATAAATAAATAAAAACTGTATTCTTAAAATACATATTTAATTTTAAAAACGAATAAAAAATCTTCTATTCCTAAAAAAATACTCTTAAACACACATTAAAAACACAAACAATTTTTTTAAACTTAAAACTGAGCATGAGGACAAAATAGACTATCTTATAATTTTTCAAGTGCCAGTATCAAATTACAATCCTTTACAACAAGAATTACCAAACAAACTTGCGCATTAGGCATTAAACAGACATACGTGGGACACTCAGAAAGTTTTGAGAAACTAATATTTTTATTAAATCTTTCAAAGAACTCTCCAGCCTCTATACAAAGTTTCATGCGTCTGAACCAATTTTCAAAACATTTTTTCCAGTCCTCCGCAGACACCTCTTCCACTCAAACGCTGCTAGCGCTTCTTCCGGCGATGAAAACTGTATCGCTTTAAGCTGATTTTTTATTTTCGGGAATAAAAAGAAGTCACACGGAGCCAAATCAGGACCTTAAGGAGGGTATCCCAAGACTCTGACTGGTGTGGAGTCCAGGGAGTCCTTCGTTTTGATCGCAGAGTGCGCGGGCGCGTTGTCGTGGTGAAGAAGGACCCCGCGGAGCCCGATGATAGGTCACTTGTTGCTCATTGCAGAAAGAACTTCTTCGGCAGGCATTTTGTGCTTTACCATTCGGCGTTCATGCTGCTTTGGTCTCGAAGTGGAATTGAAATTAGGTACCCCGTCAAAGTGAAGAAACTAGCGAGAAAAATTTCCCTGCGCTCCTCGATTGCTTCACTTCTTAGGCGTTGGCTCATTTTGAAACAGCCAAACTGTCGACTGACGCTTTGTTTCTGGATCGTATTGATAAATCCAGGATTCGTCACCTGTCACAATACCATAAACGCGCCGAGAGGAGCCTGCATCAAATTTTTGTATTATATCACTGCACTAATCAACACGGGCCTGATTCTGAGCTTCGGTGAGTTTGTGCGGCACCCTACGGGAAACAAACCCCCTTACGCAAAGGTACTCGTGCAAAATATTGTAAACACTTCCTGAACTAATCTGCAGAGTATGCTGAATCTCTTCGTACGTGATTCGTCTGTTTTCTTGAATTAATTTTTTTACTGCCAGCACACTTTCTCCTGTGACAGCCGTCATAGGACGACCACTCCTTTGTTCATCCCCCAAAGTAAGACGACCGCGTTTGAACTCGCTATACCAGCGGTAGATGGTTGCTTTTGAAGGTCCTTCATCCATAAAAGCAGTTCGAAATCGATCAAATGATCATCAGGTTTTAAGCCCCATTTAAAATGTTATCGATGCCTCAGATCCATTTTTTAATGAGACAAGAAAAAAATAATTGGCTCTCGAAAAAATGCGGAGGGACTTTTAAATAATCGAAGTTTTCAAGATAATTACAAGTGGCCAGTGTCTTATACATAAAAACTCTTTTTCGCAAAACTTTCTGAGTGGCCTGGTAGTGCATTTTAGGCATTTCGATTTTTATATAAAATAAAATTTTGGCAATTACAATGTCTAGGCATTCACGGATAGGCAATCTGCTTCTTAGTCTATTGACGTGTTAGGTATTTTTGCAGTAGCAAGTAGCAGTAGTAGTAGTGTGGCATCTTCCATTTTAGGCACTGTGCTCATAACCATTTACTCACTCACTCATTTACGAACCATTTACGCACTCATTGTAATGCGGATAGTACAACTATCCTCATTATTATCGTCAAATCTCTTTATTTAGGTATAAGTTGTACTTTCAATAAGTATGCAGAACTTTTACAACACCATGAAAATTCATTGAAAATAGTTCGAGATTTTGATTGGAAAACTAGAACTTTTTCGCAGCGCAATAAAAATTTCGATTAAAAGTTTCAGCGCACTATGAATTCCCGGAATTAATAAGAAAAAAATCTATGACTGGTGGTATTCCTTGTAAACTCGGAAACATGTTTTTATTTCTGTGCTGTGATTTTCATTACCAGATTAATAATCCATACTATTATTTCCACAATCTTGTCTTACGGAAATTAATTCATTAAGTTTGTATTTTTTGTGCATAGAATTGTGGGGAGAAGAAATAAAGCATAATTATTATTATTATAGATGATAAAGCGTATATGTCTGTGACCTCTTCACGTTTAAACCGCTGAACCGATATGTAATTTGGTATAAAGATAGTTTGAGTCCCTGGAAATGACATTGGATAGTTTAACCCAGAAATCGTCATTTCAGGGGGTGAAAAGGGGAATGGAAGTTTGTATGGGAGACCAATTTTTCACGCAGACGAAGTCACGGGAACCCACTAGTATTACTAATATTATAAACCAGCGACCGCCCGTGACTTCGTCTGCGATATCTTAGGTTTATTGATAATCACTTGTAATAAAGGTTTTAGCACCTTCTTTATCCTGATATTCGACCAAACGGTTGCCGTGAAAAAAAGCACCCGTATTCTCGGCACGCATTTGGGGGACCTAGGTCCTCAAAATGTAGTCCGGTGCAGGAGTATTGTCTGACTTTTACTGGCCTTGTTCAGGGGATGGTGGAGCAACGTTGTATGCCCTCTTAATCTCTTCCAAAGTCGTATGGTTACTGGGATGAAATTCAGCTACTAATCTTCAAAACGCTCCATCCAGATGTTGGTAATTACAGAGCCTACTGGACTTCCCATAGCGACACCATCAATCTGTAGATAATGCTGATCTTGGAATAAAAAACACTTCCAAACAATTTTTATGCAGATCAAAGTGATTAAGCGGCATCTCAGTGTCTGTCAGTCTGTCCTTCATACTTCCAGGCACTCTATGATTGAAACTTTGGTGAAAATCGACTCCATGATGTGATTTGGAGTGCGTGTGATATAATGGTGAGCTTCTTATTTCGTTGTACACAGCGTTAGACTGACGACCATCACGAAAACTATGACAACTAGCTAGCTAACTAAAAAAACTAACTAAACTAGCTGTAAACAGTCGACTTGCATTGTGCTTCGTCACCATAAACAGAAAAAGAGTAACGCTCTGCTAAGGCGTAAAACTACACTTCAAATCGATGTATTAACCTACGAAAATTTTCGTGAGTTTTATTTATTGTAACGTAGACACACATTTAAAATAATGCTAAAATATAAAAATAATTGACAGGTAGATGGAAAAAAAACACCATTTACAGCCAAAGAATTTCTTTTCAAAATCTCGTTATTTATTTAATATTTAATTATCTCAGTGACTACTTTCGGTATCAATCACTAAGGGTAGCTATTTATAATACTTTTAATAAAGTCGAATCGCGGATTCATAAATGCCCTTAAGTAGATACCCGTGATCAACGATATATCAAATATATCTGCCAAACTACAATCGCTTCTAAGCACCCTATTCGTCAGAATTCTACAAGCTGCATAGGAAAATTTGTAGCTGGCATGACATTATTTTTCTTTGCTCCCAATCCAAAGATTAGAAAGAGAGAGAGTTGAGAATAAACAGGAGATAACAAATAATGGAACACTTTTAATAAACTGGATTCAATAAAACATGTTTTTGTTCGGTATGAATAAAGAGAAGACTAACATAATCTTTCGAGGTGGCTCGTAAAATGTGTTAACGGGGAATGAGATAGAACATTGAAGCTGGCACAATAATTTGTAGAGCATTCTTTTCATTTTATTTTAGGGCGATGACTTGTTTCTTTTATTTACTCAGTTTATGTTGTAAATGATTTTCCGTAATCATAGCGTAGACGAATTTAAAAAATAAAACTTTGGGAAGCATTTAGGCTAATAGGAGGTTTAGAATATGCACCTGTAGACTACTTAGTACTATATATATATAATAGTATATTTCGCTTTTTATCCCAAAACCTAGTTTTTACGGGATGTCAAATATCCTGTGTTCAACAACCTATTGTTAATAAACTGTATGGCAAAGCAAATTTAATTCTATATCATCATGGTGGGTGCTGACGACTGCAGATGCAGCCGGGACCAACGGCTTAACTTGCCTTCCGAAGCACGGAGATAGTAAATTTTTGGTCATCCATCCAAAGACCGACCACTGTGAAAGTTGCTTAACTTCAACGATCGCAGCCGAACGCGCTAATCACTTGCGCGATAGAGCTCCTCAATACAAAATTCTATTTGATTCAGTTGATTTTGCGAGATTGTATTGCAAATTGCAAGCAGCATATTATTAGAATAAAAGCCTTTTAATAAATAAAGAACAAAAACCAGTACTTACAAACTCCTACATTTACAATATTATTATGAGTAAGAAAAGAAATACGACAAATATTTATTGAACTTGAGCTATGATATCTATTGCTCGAAACTTATGTAGTACGTACAGTACTTATGCTATTCTTTTGTTATGGAAATGCAAGACGACGACCACTACTGCCCGGAGCCAGAACAGCATTGTAAAGTCAGTTGGTAAAACTATGTCTACTTTAGCTACGTTAGGTATTCATATCCCGAAGTCAAGGAAGTAGGTACTTTTTTTTAAATAACCCACGCCAAAGGAATTTTGTAGGTTGTTGAAAAGAAACTCTTTTTTCTCAAACGTCCTCATTCTTCATACCAAAGTTTGAGTAAAACATAAAACATCCATGAATCCGTGGAAGATCACATCGAGACGAGCAATCGATTCAATTCTATGGTAATGCTATATGGAGAACTGAGGCTCACCGTCCTTTTGTAATCTAATCATAACATCCAACCCGTCCGAGTTCTTTCAAATCTTCGTAGAGCCCGCGCTCGCTATAAAACCTTTGTCAATTTTTCTTACTGCGTAGAAATTTCATATTCGGAGCGTGGAGTTCGCGCTCGTGCGTATATTTAATCAGTTGTGTGTCTGAGTGCCTACTGTCACGGCAAGGGGAACAGCGGTAACATCTGACTTACAAAAGATGCAAGTCATGTGTCTTTGTATATTATGCTCCATCAAATCCAAAGCTGCGCAATTTGAAGAGACGAATTCATAATACTAAACGATTCTATTCTGAAGAATCAAAACTTTAACAAGTTTAATTTTTTCCATAATTAATCTGTCTCAATTGAGAGTTTGCCTAATTCTTAGATTATTCTCTTAAAAGCACTCTATATTAATGAATAAACTTCAGAAACTGAAACTTAATTATATTATATATATTTATATTTTATGTTTTTATGTCTCATAAGCTGGATAGAGAAACAAAATCATAGAATAACCCAGGCGCTAATATGCCACGCAACAAATAATGGACAAAGTAGTTTCAAAAATTATCATAATTATTTTTTATATAGATAGATGGTAAACTGTAATCTATTAGTACTTATTGTTTCACACGTACCACACCTCACCACACCGCCACAACTTATGGTGTTCAAGTGTGGTTACAACAGGTAAGGTAATAGTGTCGCTGCAGTTTCTTGCGGTTGCGTACCTACAAAATGTGGACATGGTTACATTGTCGCTAATGGTTGCGTAGCGTACATACAGACAGTTCGTCATCATCATCATGTGGCTGCGGGGTGGTCGGTATCACACACGCAGTCGATAGTGACAGCTAAATGTGATCTGTGTTAATTCAACTATTATCATATATTTGTTTCTTAGGTTTTCAAGCACACCATTTATTAAATAAAACAAGTTTCAACGGTATAGATGCACTGATTTTTTTTTTTTTTGTGGTAATTCAGACGACGCATCCTTTTGAGGATGCGTCGTCTGAATTATGATTTTATTTACTATGTCGAGCGAATTTCGAAAGACTTTTAATTTAAAAAAAAAACACTTTTTTAACTTGTTTATTAATTTTAATACAAATTTTTGCCCAGCCACGTGTAACGGTTGTGGTAGAGTTATGGTACGTGTGAAACAAGCGTTATGCGGCTTATATATATATTACTACCTACATTTAACAATCAGAATAAAAACGAAAACCCAAACAAGACACAAATGGAAATTACACTATGAATGGGAGCGATACGTAGTTATACGCTTTTCGTTATCATCAACCTATTAATGGCCTCACTGTTTATTAGGACTTCCAGGCCTTTCCTATGGATTGATTAAGGTGTAGGTACGGGTCATGACTCACCATTCGCGCCCAGTGCGGATTGGTGGGTGCAAAAGACTGTAGATGCAGCCAGAACTGAGGCCTCGGCTTGCCTTACAAACCGACAATAAGTTAGAAAAATAAATGTTTGGTCACATCCTATCCTATATGACCGGTCATCGCGATAGCTGATCAACTTACACGAACGCTGACCTCCCCCGCATCACTGCGTACCTACATCTAACATGTTGCATTTCAACTTTAATCCATTCTAAAACTGTTAAATAAATTATATTACAAAACCCAATCCAGCATTATGGCATGAAGTAAACATTATATATGAGTGACGGCTGTAACTATTGTTGCAGTTTTGGGCGGCGTATGTGCCTTGCGACGCCCAGCATCGGGACGCAGTACAGCTGACATTCGAACAAATTGACCTCATCCAGCGGCTGACTGACAAGTACCACCCGCAGCTGACGCTCTGCACGTCCGCAGACGGTATGTATCTTCTTTTGTTGCATCAGTTTGTTGCCGAACAAACAATACAGGGAGAAAAAAAACGAGCGTTCTTATGACCACACGACTGAAGTGAAACTTCTTAAGCTCCATCTGTATGTATATATATATTTGGTATACGCCACTTTGGTGCAGCTTAAAAATTAACATTAAATAATAGTGAATTTAAGTCAATTTTCAAGCAGCACCGAAGTGGCGTATTAGCAATTTTGTTTTCCACTGTCGATATGTATGATACTTATTGCATTGACTAGCTATAAGAGAAAAAGAGAAAGAAAATGTGCGCGCGCACTGCTTTCTCTTGCTTATATCCTCCACTCAACTCCCGTTCGCCTCGCCCGAACACACTTTTCGTAACGCGTAACGCATTCGCCAAGTAACGCATTCGGGGGGGTAAGCCCCCAAGTTAAGCGTGCGTAAAGAAGTTTCACTTCAAAAACAGCCTTTGCTGAGTTTCTTGCCGGTTCTTCTCAGTACAAGACTGTTTCATTTTTCATTCCTCTAAGTTTCAGCTTGTTAAACTCTTTATTATTTTATAGTATTTTGTTAGGGTCCCGTACCTACCCAAAGTGTAAAAACGGTCCTTATACTAAACTTGCTAATCACAGTGCCTACTTCAAATACGAAACCTTGTACGATGGTGCGGAACCCTTCGAGTGAGAGTCCGGCTTGCAATGGACAAGGATTTTGTAATTTGACCATTTAACTTCAAAATTTTGATATCGTTATCATTTATACTACGAAAGAAATCAACTTGTCTCAGGTGTCAAAAGGAATTCAAATCTTTAAAATTATCACTATCTGGGAGAGTTTTAGAGATTTCTCTTGATCTCAGCAGAGTTGTTTAATTTTTGCTAACAATGTTTGTCTTCTTAAGATGAGCTTCTTATTATTTATTAAAAAAACTAGATTAAACCAGTTCAAAAAGTGTTTTATTTAAAAATATAATATGCTCAATGTATTTCGATTACGAATATTTTAGGCGAACATTGGTTGAACCTCTTCTTTCAAAACTCGTCTACGTCCTCTTCGCTTCGGTGATGAAAATCTTAAATATATCATGTTGTTTATACATGTACTTGTAACCCCAATGGACTACATAAATGATTAATATATGAAATGTTTGAAGTAGGCGTTAACCTGGCTAAATCGACATACATTTTAATATCCTGTGGTGAACACTTAAGCTTAAATAAAAGGCCTTTCAAACAAAATAAGTGAACTAGAATATTAACATGCAAAATACAACTTCACATACAGATGTTTTTACTTTACAAATTTTCTCATACTTTAAAAAGTAACTGTTTTTTTGTTCTGATCATTCAATATTAGGTTTGTTCTTTCAACCATTACTGGGTATATGTAAGATCCTTAAAAAACTTTTTTAAAGTTTAGATTAAGAAAGAGTTAACTCCGAAATATATAAAAATATGTACCAAAATCCTGTTAACCTTCCTTAATTAAAGAAATGTAAAAAATATTTTTTAATTTCATTTCCATATACTACAGTAATTCACTAAAACGGACCTGTTTCTTATAATACTTTGGCAGAGTGTATTTTCGTCCTCTTTTCTCCATTTCACGTCTAATAACCTTAGTCAAACACATCGATAAATGTCTACTTATAGCATCGTCACCCTCGACTCGGTAACATAAATGGCCGATCTGATTTTGACAAATGAGGTGTCAGTCGATTCGTCTCAGTCCCGGAAGGCCATCGGAAATAGACGATTTAATTTTAATACGGATGTAGATCCTAGTTTTTAGTGGTTGATTGAAATTCACATCAGGAATTTTATAGTACGTGTTGGGGAGTATTGCTGTAAATCTCAAAGCTTTCTAGCACGATATTATCGACCTCGTGACTCGAGTGGTATGTACGCCAGTTTTCAAGGCGTCGCCTACTCAGAGGATTCGAATCCCGGTGGGGCAAATGTTTGTGTGATAAATACGAGCATTTGTACTTAAGTAATGGATATTTATATATATTATACATGTATCATTATATGTTCCGTTACCCTAGTATCCCATAACACAAGACTTACAGTGTTTACTTTCGGGCTAGGCTAATAAATTGATGTATATGTAAGAAATATGTATAATGGACAATTGAAGTTGCGCTGTAACTACTAAGTGTCGCCGCACACGGGCCACCGACCACAACCACAGAACGCCTCCACCGTCATATTTCTTGTAGTTTTCATATATTTTATATGGACTCGCCACACACGGTACGCCAGTGGCCGCCAGACGCTACAAATCGTCGTTGCTCGCTTCTTGTGACCCGCACCGGCCACTTAATACGCCGATACAAAACGCCGCCAAACGTCATTCGCGCGATTCCCCACCCCTCTCTCCCTTACCTTAGTCGCTGCTGTCACGCGCTTCAGCCACTTTAGTAGCCGCTTCTAGCTTCTCGTGGCGGCGTTTGTGGCTGTGGCTTGTAGCCCGTGTGCGGCGACACTAACGCTTCTCAGTGGGGTTCGTTACTTTGGTTTGACACACGAAACTTCGAAGCTTTTCACACAGGGAAATGTAATGTGAACTTACGCTTATAAGTATGCAGGAAAAACTGCATACTTGTGCCCCGTGCTGCGTTTGGCAAATGTGGGGATTAGAAACTTAACATCGTGATCATCAAACTGATAACATAAAATCCTATCGTACTAATATAATAAACGTAATAGTTTGTATCTTTGTTACTCAATCGAGCTAAGCCTAGTTGAACGGATTTGGATGAAAATTGGTACGCATATAGTTAATGACCTGGATTAAGACATATGATACTTTATATCCAGGAAAAATGTAAGGTTACTGTGGGATTCTAAAAGAATTAAGATAATGCGGATGAAGTCGCGGGCGGCCGCCAGTTGTTAGTAAAACTAAGTTATATTTAAAAACCAAATATTTTTATATGACGACCTCCTTGGCCGAGTGGTTTGTACGCCGGGTTTCATGGTGTCGCCGACTCGAGAGGTCCCGGGTCCCGGTCCGAGGTAAGGAATCCCGGTGGGGGCAGATGTTTGTGTGATGAATACGAGCATTTGTACTCCAGTCATAGATGTTTAATATGTATTTCTATATAAATATACTTATATATGTACAATATATGTATTCTATCAGTTACCCTAGTATCCCATAACACAAGCCTAACAGTGCTTACTTTGGGACTAGGCTAATTGATGTGAGTGTTGGTAATATATTTATATTTATTTATTTATTTTGCAATTTTACTTGCTGCAGTCTCCATTGATTATTAAATTAGCAAAGTTCTCATAAATGTTAACTAAATTGCGATACTTATTATAACTCAGTTATTGCTAAGCTTGTGTTTCTGCCATTGCGAGTGTTGCCTCTCAACAGTCTTCCATATTAAGCTACAATAATAGGTTTATTATATTATACCTATAACAAATGCAAACATGCCGTATCTACCTAACTAATGCATTCTATACATTGTGATTGATACCGAACCGCAAGTAATTCTATGCCCATTGGAATGGAGGAATAATATTGAGCTCCCCGCACCACCCTAGCATGACCCAGCTGTAGGTTAATACCTTATGATTGAGGAAGGCTTATCACACGGGGAGATATGTTGGTGTGGCAACCCTTCGTCTCTGTCCACCAATGGTACTTACTTTTTCTTTTTGGGTTGAATACGATTCATTGAATTCCTAACTATAAGGAAAGAATACTATTTCTGAGTTAAAACTTTATATACCTACAATGGACATCCATTAATTAACAGTAACAGATTAAAATAAAAATAAAAATTATTTTATTCGCATTGCTATTGCTAATACTACTTATCTACACTATTCTCAAACGCGATTTTAAGATTTATTTGCCTTTTTTTTCGAAAATTCCTAGATACTGATTTCAAAATTTTGAACCCCCTTATCAAACATAAATTACACATGCCAATCAAATTACATTTTCAGATAATTGAAACATATTTATGAATGCTTCATAGAATAGGAACTTAGCAACTGAAGGCATGTTAAAAACACGCACCAATCGACAAATCGGGAAATTCATTCATCACAACCAGATATGCCCGTTTCATTCGTTTCGTAACAATCACACAGACAGAACTACTAATTTTGGTACTTGGTAGGAGCAAAATCATGTTACACTAACCATTTGACTAAATTTACTTTGTAACAGCGAACAGATACCCCTTAAAATGACTACGAAAAAAGAAGTGTAATGTTCTAGGGTTCATGGTGTGGGTATTAACCCAAAATAGTGAAATAACATCTAATTGCGGAATAGATCTAGTTTTATAGGGTATCGTTACAATTCTCATACTCGTATCATCCCTAGAGCTGCTGGCTCAATCAGAACACAGTTCAAAGAATGCAGAAAGAAAGCAATGCAGTTGGGGGAACTCTTACATTTAAAAGGACAGTCCCCGACTGCAATGACTTTTTGAACTTGAAGATAACTTTCTTATCACACTGTATGTCTGCTGTCAAAACCCTTTATCTCAGGCACGCATGAAGATATCGACTTGAAATTAAAATCATATTCTCATATCTACAGTTTCTTGAAGCTGTAAAAAAATCAAACTTCTAAGTGATTATTGGGTATATTATCTGAAAATCAATATGGGTTTCGGGCTGGTAGGTCAACGGAAGATGCTATACTCAAACTGACTACATTAGTTACAGACTACATAGATAAGGGCAAGTGCTCTGTCGGAGTATTTTTGGACCTCCAGAAAGCCTTCGACACGGTCTCAATCCCGATATTATTGAAACGCCTTGAAGATCTTGGTGTAAGAGGCATAGTGCATACTTGGTTCTGATTACTTGACAGGCCGAAGCCAAATCATTAGACTAGACAACTCGCTACAGTGTACCGCAGGGTAATACCCTTGGCCCAACACTTTTTTAGTGTATTTTAATACTATACGATTAGAAATTCCAAGTGCAGAAACGATTATGTTTGCAGATGACACAGTAGTTTTGTTTCAT